TTGATTGATGATTTTATTTAAGAATTAAAAAAATATATAGTTCACTCGCCTATTTCAGTGTGGCAGGATTGCTTTGTCTTTATTCATTCCCTCTGTTGATATCAGGTAAAACGATTGAAACTGGTAAATGACCAATATGAAGAAGTTGGGGTTGTTAGAAAAATTCCAGCTTGTTTAGTTTCAGAGATATGAGATATGCTAAGTATACAAGATTTGCTGAGATGTTTCCCACTAAGCAAATTTTAAAGTTATGTTGATGCAATGTTGAAGCAATTAATGCAACGGACGTTCAGCAATATTGGAAAGGTGAAGTTTGAAAATGTATCCTTGCAGCAATATTGCATGTTGCTGTGACATTGCTAGAAAGTAACATTTACAAATTCACATTTGTAATACTACTGAACGTCTGTTTCAGTAATTGCTAAAACCTTGCATCAACATAGCTTCCAAATCTGCTTAGTGGGTTATAAGTATATAGATGTTTCCACTGTTGCGCCTTTGTTTTGACCTAACTTGATGGCAATATACAGTTGGAAATCGAAATATGATGATATTGTTACATCTTATTCTAATACCGGGTGGCTACGGAAGTATTGCCTACGGAATATCTCAGTTATTGTATGAAGTAGGTTTGTGAAATTTGGAGCGTCGATATAATGACATAAGAGCTAGAATTTGAGCATATTGACATGTCGAAGTTAACTTCCGGTCTCACCGGAAGTAACATCAACTTTCTTATTTTAAATGGAAACCCTATTTTTTTTTCTTTTCGCTTTATTCAGCATTCAATTCCCTTTCTAATGACATATCACAAATTGGTATCTAACCAGAAACTAGATCAGAAAAAAATTATTATTGAAATTCACCGAGTAGGCCGTGGAAGCAAAATGAAAGCCAAAAATTGAGAAGTTGGCTATGGAAACCATACGTCACTTGATAACAGTTGCTACTACTGTGATATTTTATTTTCATTCGTCGGCGTTATAAAAAGCCGCCAAAAAAAATATTGGAAAAATTGGGAAAAAAACAATACTCTGTAGGTCCATAACTTGAATAGGAACATACAACTTTTTCTTGCCTGTACTATTCAGCATAACCATTCCTTTCTAATGATATAATGAAAAGTCATTTTTTGAAATGAAATACGCTTCCACGGCCTACTCGGTGAATTTCAATAATAATTTTTTTCTGATCTAGTTTCTGGTTAGATACCAACTTGTGATATGTCATTAGAAAGGGAATTGAATGCTGAATAAAGCGAAAAGAAAAAAAAATAGGGTTTCCATTTAAAATAAGAAAGTTGATGTTACTTCCGGCCAGAGCGGAAGTTAACTTCGACATGTCAATATGCTCAAATTCTAGCTCCTATGTCATTATATCGACGCTCCAAATTTCACGAACCTACTTCGTACAATAACTGAGATATTCCGTAGGCAATACTTCCGTGGCCACCCGGTATAAGTCGCTATGTACGAATTCTCTTTAAAATGGGCATAGAAACTAAACTATCAGGATATTATTGAACGATATCGAAAATGCATCTACTTACACCATTTTTCTATTTTTTGTCGTACGTATAAATGATTGTTGTTATTTGGTCCGATGACCATTACGATTATGACGATATCAGCGCCTCCTACGGATTCCCTATGACCAACAACCTTATGAGTATCGTCAATTTTTGACCAATGTAACTTTGGCAACTAGCCCTGACAATTCGCGGGAATCAATGTTACCAGGTGGCGCTCGGTTTTCATCGTTCCATGTCAAAGCCACGTCAAAACTGGGGGAAAACAAACTCAATCCTCACTCAATCCCATTAGTACCATTAGCTTGTGTACTGTGTACTGATAAGAGTGATAAGTTTTTAAATTTCTTGACATTAATTGTCAATATCTGATCGAAAACGCTAACAATGCTAGCTGTAGATGTTATTTTGGCAGATATTTTGCTCTATTTATATGGAAAAAGCCGACCAGTAGTGGAAGGAGAAGCAGTTCTCCGTGCTAATCATGTGATTTTGTGTGAGGCAGAAGACTTCAACAAAAGGCACATTTTTGCACTTTGTTCACAAACTTCGGCGATGAAATCTTCCCCACATGAAGTAAAATTGAAGTTGGGGTCCAGAGGAACTCCTGTAGAACGATGGATTTGTATTTGTTCATGCAAAGCAGGACAATCTTGATATTGTAAACATGTTGTAGCTGTTCGTTTATATGTCAATTGATTTGCTCGTCATAATTAGTTTGAATTGTCTGAACTATCTCCAATTCTTCACCCGTTCACTGTTCACTAAACTAATAAAAATGTAATAATGTAAAAAAATTAACCAACTCAACCATCATCACTACCAACAGTGCCAACACTTTATGTCATGGACAAGTTTGACTACAGCTACAGCAAGCTGAATGCAATGTAGTCTACGCACTTTATCCATAGACAACAGTTTGTTTTCCCCCAGTTTGAAGTTCGTATTATGTAACCTAGATGTCGCCCACTTCGTGAATCTCCCGAATAAAAACACCATATTCTTAAAAACATCTCAGGATTAACAATACTGCCCCTTTGAAATATCTGTAGGATGTACCTACGTGGATCCATGATCAGAGTTATATTATTGAGGAAACTATATGCATCTTGAAATATACTGAGAGATGCAGAACCTGATGCCATCATTCATAGTTCCTTACCTACAAGGAAGGAAAATCTCCGAATTATCTCCACGAATTTTCGAATTTTAATGACGAAGTGTTACAAAGAGGGGTGGGACATGTTTAGGGCTTATCATAAGTTCATCAGCCACTCGATCAGCCAAAGATTTTGGAATAATGTTGAATAAGAGAATGATATGCAGAAATTGTTTGACAGAGGGTCCTGTACTTGAATATTTTCCTTCCTTCAACTACAACCACTCACTTTGCTGAAATATGCATAAATGAATGAGTAATTGATTTTGAATATGCCGACCCTTCTTGGTTGAGTTCTTGTGCAGTTCAGGATCGTTAATAATGTTTTTGCAAAAAAATTCCACTCTACCTTATAGCATGCTCATCATGATACGTGCTCATATTGTGATTCAACTGTTTAGTCACGGTCCGTTTTTGATGCCTATACGGACTACCGACTTGACTGTAATAAAACATGAAAAAATTTGCGTTATGCTATTCAAAAATGGTGATCCTCATTATTTCAGTCTCTTTCGTCAATTCTCCTCACTGCTTTTCCAATAGATGGAAAACATTTCTGGATTTGATATAAACACAGGAACCTTTCATTTAGGCATGATGAAAATCGGAAGTAACTTATTACAGTTTGATTTCACAGTATATTATTCCATATTCAAATAGGGTTCATTATTACAAATTCAACAATGCCGGGTTTGATGTTTTTTTTCAAACTACTACGAAGATATGACAAAGAATAAAACGATTCAATAAAAAATGTATATGATTAGATTTCATCAATATAACACGATTGAAATCGAATGAAAAGGAAATAATTAAAATCTGATAACCACCAATTGTCTCGATGGTGATAGCAACTGGCCAGCTCGGTCGCCAGACCTCACCCCACTTGATTTTTATTTGTGGGGCTACTTGGAACAACAGGTTTATGAGTCGCCAATTGTGAATATGGAAGAAATGAAAGAGAAAATCACGAATTTATGCACCCAAATTGATCGCAACGTGATATATAGGGTCACAATGAACGTTATCAAAAGAGCTTGAAAATGTTCGCAGCAGAATGGACGACATATTGAGCAGTTGAGGTTTTAATTATTTTCTGTCTATTCGATTTCAATCGTGTCATAATAACAAAATCTAATCATATACATTTTTTATTGGATCGTTTGATTTTTTCCCATATCTTCGTAGTCCTTTGAAAAAATCCCATGAAACCCGGCATTGTTGAATTTGTTATAATGAACTCTACTTATATGGAATAATATACTGGGTGTACCTATTCAAATTATAGAGTTGAGGTGCACTTCCTACGATATATTCAATAGCATAATTCGAGAGAGCCTCATCAAATATACTGGGTGATCAAATTTCAAGTCATTCGACCCCCCGTTTGATTTTTTACAGGGGGGAACATTTTAGCTGGGACACGGTGTATAATTCATGCCACAGTGTGAGAAATGCATCTGATGAATACCTGATTCATCTTTAGGATTTTCACGGAAGACTAAAATAGTATTTTCCGTCGACCTCTACAAAAATTCACATTTCACGTTCTAACAAAGAACCGACTATTTACGAAGGCACCTTGGGTTGACGACAACAGAGCATTGTCAGTGACGTCATATGACGTAAAATTGTCGGCCATTGAACAGCTGATGGCGGGACAAGCATACACATTCTCCGTAAGGGTACATGTAACTTTCTTGCACATTTACCACTAAAATACAATACCTGGAGCATTTATTTATTGACATGTTTGTTAATTCATTCCTCATGAATCTTGTGAGAGAAGTGAATGAGTCCAAAGAAGACTTCAAATTGGTTTATTTGTCAATTTTAAATTACTGGATTTACTTGAGTTCAGCTCTAATATACCTGATATACCTCGTAATATACCTCAATAGATACTCATTTTGGAAGAAAATGTGAAGTATATCCAATATCAATTGCAGAATATCTCACACTGTGCGGCGTCGGCATGTTTGAAGTTTTCTTTGAAGTCACTGCAGGTGCGGCACGAGAATTTGCAATTGATTTTGGATAAACTATACACATTCTTCTTGTATAATATCTACAAGTTCAACAAAATCACGAATGGGTCAGAAATAATAAAATCAAAGTTCACACACAGCTTTGTTTGTCCCCCGATCAGCTGATGAAAACGACAAGTGCGCCATGTTGTGACATCAGCAGACATTGCTCTACTGTCATCGAAACTAAAAATCTTCAAAATTCTCCTATATTGGTGGTTCACGATTATTATTCCTATCACTACCATTTCTCAATCTGTAAGTTATATGACATTTTTTTTTTCAGGGAGCTTCTCATTGGCAATATGTCTTTGACCCAAACCAACATGATGAATGCTATGGGGAGTCATCAAGCTGGCTTGGACATGGCTGCTTTCCAGACCGCTTCCAAGCTGTTTGACCCAAATTGTACTATAACTTCCTGCTATCCAGAGTATCAAGTAGCATAGGGAAGAATAATCATTGTAAATCGGTTGTGAATTGCTGTTGATGGATTCGTACTTACTTTTTGTAAATTAATGTATATAGTGATAGTTTATGTTCATAGTTCTTTTTGATTAGATTTTTTTTTCAGAATACTGTTTTTTTTTTCACCTTGCAGGTAGAGATTCCAGATAATTCGTTTGAAATAAGGAGGTATATTTTTGAAACTCTAATGTCTCTCACAAACTATGTATAAAACATTTCTGGAACCAGAAGTCAATGTAGTAGGGAGGAACATCAGATTCTTTGACAGCTTTCTTCAGTACAGTCAGATCAAAATCGTGTTCACTGATGTTCAAACTCTTGTCGAACGTCCTAAGAATTTTTGTTTCAACTTTCTTGTATTTTTCAGTTTTCGTGATATTTCTCTCGTACGGTTCTCTTTCAATTTTTCTTGAAAATATGAAGCTGGAACGAGAAAAATAATAATTTTCGTGATCCAAAATAATTGTTTTTATGAACTCACGGTTTTTCGTGGATATCTTTATCGAGATATCCATTTTGGACAGAAATATCAGACGGTTCTTTTGTTCTCAGTAAATCTTCCTGTTTCCTTGACTTCTTGTCAGAATATTTGTACTGATTTTCGTTTTTCTCTTTGGATAATCGGTTGTACAACTTCCTGAGATTCTTCATGTAATCGGTCCAAGATACAGATTTCAAAAGTTTCTCTAACTCCGACAATTCACTGGAAATAAAGATGAGTTGAATGGTTGCCAACGAAGATGAAAATAATTAACAATTATTTCCATAGATTTCTTGGGATGACTATTATTTAGATCAGAGAAAAATACATATCTTGGGGAAAGCAATAGGGAGAATATGATTGAATGAACTTGAGAAAAAACAATTATCAATTATTCAATTGAATTCTCTCCCAGAAAATAGGTCAGGCAAGAGAGGAATAACGACAATATAATAACGTCTTTCATAAAAAACTGAATATCCTGTACGATAATTAATTGATTTCTAATGAATATTTATTAATTTCCTAGTCTTTCCATGAATCAAAGGCACATCAATGTATAGTTTCCTTACTCTTTCCCTTGAATAGAAAGTACGCCACCCTTTTGTTGAGTCCTCAGTAAATGATGACGATTGAAGATACATTTCAAAATTTTTTCAATTTTGATTTTTTCTTTCTCAAAATCCATTACACCAGATCCATTGCCTCCTTGGCTGCGCTGTTGGGTCAAAGCTTTTTGCATATCTTCATTGGCTTTTTTCATCTGCTCTTGCTCCTCTAGGTGGTCTTTTATGCAAATCTCATATTTTCGAACCTTCAAAGGAAAGGAAGATACAGAGCGTTTCTACACACACACACTCACGTATTTATTTTCAGTTCAAGAGAGGTCCTTCAAGTCCGCACTAGAGAATGTCTAGCGCTTAGTAGCAATTTTTTTTTATGTTCTGGTTCTCACCAAGAGGGATATCCTGTAATGTTCAGAGAACATCGTAGGAACCAAGGAAAATGAGGTAGGATTTGGTGTTCTTCTTAAATTTCTGGAGGTTATATGCCTCTGAAAACACCTCCCTTGGCAATGTGTTCCAGAGCCTCGCTGTTCGTTGGATGAACGAGTCTTTGGAAATTGATGTTCTGCAAGTCTCCAAAGTGATCTCGCGGGGACTGCCAAGGGAGGAACAATTGTTGATATTTCAGAAGAGTATCGTCCATGAAAATATCTATGAAATAGAGCCAGATCGCCAATTTTTCTACGGTGTTCCAGAGAAGTGAGTGAGTTTGTGAGCGAGGCATCACCCACTAGACGAATTGCCCTTTTTTGGTCAGAATCCAACGAACAGTTTCAGGGTATGTTTGGGTGCTGCACTCCAAATATGGGAACAGTATTCCAGGACAGGTCGGATCTGTGCCTTATAGATCATAAGCAGCTGACTGAAAGTGAAATAGCTCCTGGCACGAAACAGAAAACCAAGTTTTTGGGATGCACTTGGATGCAAAAAGATCAAGGTTAACCCCTTTCAACTTTTTTCGAAATATTTGAGGGCTCAGAATGAACTGAAAACTGCAGAACCAGAATATGAAGTCTGTTTCTCTGTATGTCTGATAAATTTAGAGATATTACCATTTAAAAAAAAATCTGAAAACATCCAAAATCACTGAAAACTTCTCTACACATCCCAATTCGTCTGCAAAACACGTCGATCAAGTTGAATTTCCATCAGTTCCTACATATATTCTTAGAGGAAAAATGTTGGTCCAAAGTGGGGTCAAAAATTGACATTTTTTTAATTTTAGGACTAGAGAGCTGTGCTTCTAGTCCGCACTAGAGTATGCCTAAAGGGCCTTAAATACCGAATTTGAAGGCTTTAGAACAAAGTTGATTTTTGGGTCTGAAAAAGAAACAAGGTTAACCCCTTTGAACTTTTTTCGAAATATTCAAGGGCTCAGAATGAGCTGAAAATTTGTACACAGGATGTTCTCGGTCTGCAGAACCTGTTTATGAAGTCGGTTTTTCTGTATGTCTAATAAATTTAGAGATATTAGCATTTTAAAGAAAAATCCGAAGCATCCAAAATCGTTGAAAACTTCTCCACACGACCCAATTTGTCTGCAGAACACGTCGATCAACTCGAATTTTCATCAGTTTCTACAGTTTCTCAGAGGAAAAATTTTGGTCCAAAGTGGGGTCAAAAATTGCAATTTTTTTTCATTTCAAGACTAGAGAGCTGTGCTTTCAGTTCGCACTAGATGATGCCTAAAGGACCCTAAATACCGAATTTGAAGGCTCTAGAACGAAGTTGATTTTTGAGTCTGAAAAAGAAACAAGGTTAACCCCTTTGAACTTTTTTCGAAATACTCAAGGGCTCAGAATGAGCTGAAAATTTGTACACAGGAAGTTCTCGGTCTGCAGAACCTGAATATGGAGTCGGTTCCTCTGTATGTCTGATAAATTTAGAGATATTAGCATTTTAAAGAAAAAATCCGAAACATCCAAAATCGCTGAAAACTCCTCCACACGTCCCAATTTGGCTGCAGAACACGTCGATCAACCCGAATTTTTATCAGTTTCTTCATAGTTTCTTAGGGGAACAAATTTCTTCCAAAGTGGGGTCAGAAATTGTCATTTTTTCAAATCTAGGACTAGTGAGCTGTGCTTCTAGTCCGCAGTAGAGGATGCCTGAAGGACCCTAAATACTGAATTTGAAGGCTTTAGAACAAAGTTGATTTTTGGGTCTGAAAAAGAAACAAGGTTATACCCTTTGAACTTTTTTCGAAATATTTGAGGGCTCAGAATGAGCTGAAAATTTGTACACAGGATGTTCTCGGTCTGCAGAACCTGTATATGAAGTCGGTTTTTCTGTATGTCTAATAAATTTAGAGATATTAGCATTTTAAAGAAAAATCCGAAGCATCCAAAATCGTTGAAAACTTCTCCACACGTCCCAATTTGTCTGCAGAACACGTCGATCAACCCGAATTTCAATCGGTTTCTTCATAGTTTCTTAGGGGAGCAAATTTTTTCCAAAGTGAGGTCAAAAATTATCATTTTTTCAAATTTAGGACTAGTGAGCTGTGCTTCTATTCTGCACTAGAGGATGCCTAAAGTACCTTAGATACCGAATTTGAAGGCTTCAGAACAAAGTTGATTTTTGGGTCTGAAAAAGAAACAAGGTTAACCCCTTTGAACTTTTTTCGAAATATTTGAGGGCCCAGAATGAGCTGAAAATTTGTACACAGGATGTTCTCGGTCTGCAGAACCTGTATATAAAGTCGGTTTTTCTCTATGTCTAATAAATTTAGAGATATTAGCATTTTAAAGAAAAATCCTAAACATCCAAAATCACTGGAAACTTCTCCACACGTTCCAATTTGTCTGCAGAACACGTCGATCAACCCGAATTTTCATCAGTTTCTTCATAGTTCCTTAGGGGAAAAAATTTCTTCCAAAGTGGGGTCAAAAATTGTCATTTTTTCAAATTTAGGACTAGTGAGCTGTGCTTCTAGTCTGCACTAGAGGATGCCTAAAGTACCTTAGATACCGAATTTGAAGGCTTTAGAACAAAGTTGATTTTTGGGTCTGAAAAAGAAACAAGGTTAACCCCTTTGAACTTTTTTCGAAATATTTGAGGGCCCAGAATGAGCTGAAAATTTGAACACAGGATGTTCTCGGTCTGCAGAACCTGTATATGAAGTCGGTTTTTCTCTATGTCTAATAAATTTAGAGATATTAGCATTTTGAAGAAAAATCCGAAACATCCAAAATCACTGAAAACCACCACACGTCCCAATTTGTCTGCAGAACACGTCGAACAACCCGAATTTTTATCAGTTTCTTCATAGTTTGTTAGGGGAAAAATTTATTCCAAAGTGGGGTCGAAAATTGTCATTTTTTCAAATTGAGGACTAGTGAGCTGTGCTTCTAGTCCGCACTAGAGGATGCCTAAAAGACCCTAAATACAGAATTTGAAGGCTTCAGAACAAAGTTGATTTTTGGGTCTGAAAAAGAAACAAGGTTAACCCCTTTGAACATTTTTCGAAATATTAAAGGGCTCAAAATGACCTGAAAATTCGTATATAGAATGCTCTCGGTCTGCTGGATCAGAATATAAAGTCGGTTTTTCTGTATGTCTCATAAATTTGGAGATATTAGCATTTTGAAGAAAAATACGAAACATCCAAAATCGCTGAAAACTTCTGCACACATCCAAATTCGTCTGCAGAACACGTCGATCAACTTGAATTTTCATCAATTCATATGGTTTCTGATACCTATATAACAATTTTGGTCTATGGTAAAAAAATACCATTTTTTTATTTCGGTCTAGGAAGCTGTGCAATGTGCATCTAGCCCGCACTAAAGGATGCATGCCTAAAGGGCATAAAATACAAAATTTTGTGGCTATATGATCTAGGACAAAGTTGATTTTTTGGTCTGAACCTTTTTCAATATTTTCGAGGTCTCAGAATGAGATGAGGATGTTGTCGGTCTGCTGAACAAGAATATGAAGAGGTATTTTTCGTTTTCATGATAGTTTCAGAGATATTTTCCTTTTAACGAGATATCTGAAACGTCCAATATTGTCGAAAACTTATCCATTCATTTTATTTCTTCTACAGAATACCAAGAACATCTCGAATTCCCATGGTCTTCTAAGTTTCTGTGATATCATGTCTGTTCTCGAGATTCATTAACAACAGAAAATACAAAAAAAATCGATTCCTTATACTTAATAAAACGAACATATTTACCTTATATCCTCTCCATCGGGCTTGTATTCTTGTAGCCATCCCGTTATAGTATTTGAAACAAACCATGTCATGATATTCCTGCAGAATATCAGGCATATGATACCTCAGGAGCCACCCTCTCACGTGTTTTTGTATAAGGGTAGCCGCCATATTTAATTTTTTCATCTCTTTACGCACCACATAACCTCGAAAAACACTCTGTATTTTTGTTGCTGCGAAATGATCTTTCTTAGCTGTTACAGCATGAAGCCTAAAAATCCACGATTTTTAGGATAGGAACATGATTCAGACAAAAAGCACTTTTTTTACTTGAATTTCATCACTATATCATCTTCGATATGGACAACCTCTTCATACAGATGATACACTGAAGCCATTTTATTCCTTCTTCGATTCCAAATGGACTGTTCTCAAATTCACCCCTGACTACTTCCCACATTTTGACTTTTGATTATGAATGATTGGTTAATGACATCTGCCAAAATACTACTGAGTCTTCTTATTTCTTGTTTTTCATCCAACAAGGCAGTGAAATAGGAGAAATGATGGCTTTCAAACCACCAATTTTTACCTGTTCACAGTGAAATCTGATTTTACTGCCTAAGCCGTAAAGGTGTCACTTTATTGACTAGGCAGTAAGAATGCTACTTTACTGCCTAGGTGGTAAAAGTGAATATATGTCGTAGAGGCCGTGAAAGTCATATCGTGGGGTATAAGTATGAAAAAAAGACTGTACATATGAAGGAAATAGAACATCATTAATTGTTATTTGCAAATGGACAATCTCTTCATACAGATGATACACTGAAGCCATTTCACTCCTTTTTCGATTTTAAATGGACTGTTTGCGAATTCACCCCTGTCTACTTCCCACAGTTTGACTTTTGATTATGAATGATTGATATTCAACAAGGCAGTGAAATAGGAGAAATGACGGCTTTCAAACCACCAATTTTTACCTGTTCACAGTGAAATCTGATTTTACTGCCTGAGCCGTAAAGGTGTCACTTTATTGACTAGGCAGTGAGAATGCTACTTTAATGCCTAGGTGGTAAAAGTACATATATGTCGTATAGGCCGTGGAAGTCATATCGTAGGGTATTAGAATGAAAAAATGACTGTAATTATGAAGGAAATAGAACATCATTAATTGTTATTTGCAAATGGACAATCTCTTCATACAGATGATACACTGAGGCCATTTTACTCCTTTTTCGATTTCAAATGGACTGTTTGCAAATTCAGGCCTGACTACTTCCCACAGTTTGACTTTCGATTTTGAATGATTGGTTTTTTATTCAACAAGGCAGTGAAGTAGAAGAAATGATGGCTTTCAAACCAGCAGTTTTTACCTGTACACAGTGAAATGTGATTTTACTGCCTAAGCCGTAAAGTTGTTACTTTATTGACTAGGCAGTAAGAATGCTACTTTACTGCCTAGATGGTAAAAGTAGATATATGTCGTAGAGGCAGTGAAAGGCATATTGTGGGGTATAAGAATGAAAAAAAAAAACAGTGTGTAGATCTCTATTAATTTATTATGTACACTATATTCTTATACAAGATACATTTGAAATAAATATTATACCTATACATACTCCTAAGTATCTAGCTATATTAACTTGACCTATTCTACTATTTTAGTAGTCCTAAGGCTTAAAATCTTAAATCACTTTCAGAGTAACAATGCTACAGACAGGAAATCAAACAAGCAATAATCACTATAACAGTAAATATCAAAAAAATTTAAAGCAGAACAACTATAAAAAAAAATACTCGTCGAATACTGTAAAACAAATTTCGTCAGGCACATTGAGCCTGTCATCAACTAATGATAAATTAACTATCAACATATTATCCTCTAAACTAAAGTCTCAGTTATAGGAACACTCACTACATCATTATCGTATGGGTTAGAGTTGAAGTATGGGGAAAAAACTTATCACATTTCGAATACATTTCTAACAGCAGTATTATTATGGATGTGTTTTATTTTGAGAGATTTTATGATTATAAATATATGCTCATAATAGGACACACTGTATATATGAAGGAATTAGAACATGATCATTGTTATTTGCAAATGTGCAGCAAAGCGAATGAAAGGAATATATTCATCATTGATGATGAATTTCTTCCTTTTATTCACACCATACCGTGTGTGAAATTAAATAGTACTAAGCACATTTTATTTTTTTATGAGATCTCGAAACACGAAACAAGGAGTACTGTTGGATTTTTTTTTCAATTTAGTCATCAGAAATTGTATAATTCCATAACTATAATTGTTCACCCTTTATGTAAACAATTCGTGATGTTATCATGAATACTATAGAATTTTGTTATACTATTGAGAAATCAATAAAGAAACTTTGATATCAGACTAAAATATCGAAAATTTATAATTTCGTTATTGAACTACTGCACTAGCTGTATCAAGTGGTAACCAGCCCCATATTTCTGTAGGCAAAAACCTACATAATCCGGCTCGAAGGACCATGTTTTTGTCTATGGACATATTGGACTGGTTCTCACCTAATGCAGCTAATGTAGTAGTTCAATAACGAAATTATATACTTTTTAAATTTCAGTCTGACATTGAAGGATTTTTATTAATTTCCCAATTGTATAACAAAATTCTATAGTATTCATGACAACATCACCAACTTTGTATATGACGGGTAAACAATCATGATTATAAAATTATACTGGCATAACATATACCCTGACTACCGATAGAGGGGGATAGTGTTTTCTACAGGGTGTGCAGAACTCGATGCCTCATATCCATTACAACAAGAAGAAATATGATAGAAAATATCTGAACTCAGGTTTTCGAATGGCATTTGAGTATGGCACATTTCAAACCATCAAATAAAATAATGAGGAAGAAAAATATCAAGTATTTATTGAATAATTTATTTCTTTCTGGTAAAACCCGAAAGTTTTGGATTTTCAACGAAAGAAGAATCGGAAAAATCAGGTCTTTCAAAATATTCCGGAATATAGGTTTTTCAATTAACTTCTTTAATTCTCAAAAACCTGGAAAATATGCGAATTTGGCTTGAACTTGTAACGGACTTTACTCAATTCCATTGAGGAACTCCTTTTATTTTTTTATCGTTCTTCCTATTCATACAATATAGAATGAAGTCATTGAGTTTCGCGCACCCTGTATGGATGAGAGCTTGAAATTATGTAGAATGAATTCATTGAAATTTCGAAGAAAGAGGAAAAAAATAGGGCTCAACAGTACGAAGCGGCAATGCAAAAATATTTCATCAATAAAACTAATTGCAAAAAATTTCTGTTGATCAAACTGATATTAAGATTCAACTGCAATTTGCAATTAGCTTGATTGAATCATTTTGCAATTATTTTTTTTTAGTAAGAAAAATTTCTGCGCCTTCGTACAATAAAGTAGGATTCAGGAAAAGCTCAAGTTATTTCTAATGGAAACTAGAAAACCGAGTCGAAAATACAGGATCCTTATAAAATATAAACGATTCGTCAATTTCTGAATTGGATCGGAAATGCAGAAAATTAAATAGCAAGAAAACCTACCAAGGAATCTGAATCCAGTAAGAACAATTCTCCAGGAGTCGAAAATCAAATAATTTTTTTTGGAGAATATACTTTTCCACCTTACCACATTTTCCTACTATTATTGACTGTCCTGCAGGCATTCATACTTCCAGTGCTTCTGATTTCACCGAAAGAAAAGGCTTGTCAACCTCAAAAAAATTACAGGAAAACTTTGGAATTCAGTATCTATCATTCGGAATAGTCTGTCCAAGATATGGTTGCACAGGATCTCGGAAACGGTAGGAGATACGAAGTCGGTTAAATGGGGAAAAAGTTGCGCATTCGGAGGCTCATACCAACAGCCTTCGGAAATTTTCAAAATTTTTTTTTTAGTTTTTCAGTTATATCGAAAAAAGTGAATTTTTGGAATCTCTATTTTATTTTCTTTCTCCGTTATTATTAGAGATACAGGAAAACTGAAAATACTTTTTCATAGCAACTTTTGATGACGTTTAACGTGGTGATACCGACTTTGCTATGCGACGTTTCGTATTCGCAGAACCATCATCAACTTTTGTTTTTTGAATACGGCCCTGATAATTCTGTGGGGAATTGTGATTACCCTGTGTTTTGATATTTTGATTATTAATGTCAGATAAATAATTAATGTCATTCTGATAATTTGTAATAGAGATCAAATAAACATATTTATTAATTCTCTATAATTGGTGACCCCGAAACGAGAAGAACAATGGTCAAATTACTAACACAATTGACCAGAGATCGAATCATATTGATTTTGGAACATTTCGACATTTCTCCTCAAGGAACCACAGATTCTTTCACAGATTCTGAAAGCTTTTTTTATTCTGAATTCAACCATGTATTATACAAGGTGGTTTGAATGTGTTTCGACCTATCTTTAGCCATCATCAATGTTTTTCTCGCATTTCCAAAGGAAAAATGCCATCAGTTTCACTTATTTCTGATTATTCAAAGTCAAACATTGATGGACTAGTTATTCAATACTGAAAAGTGAAAATAAAATCCACTAAATTATTCAACGCAGCGCTTCGAATTGTTTATGAATTGTATTCATATTTTAATCCGAAGGAGCTTGTCATAATTAAATTTTTCGAACTAATTATTCCTATAAGTCTATCAATCGGAACTAGTTGATGAGGGATTAGTTTGCTGGCTAATTTTCCTTCAATATAAGTGGAACTGATGGCATTTCTCCTTTGGAATTTCGAAAAAAACATTGATGATGGCTGAAACTAGTTCGAAACACATTCAAACCACCTTGTATAATACATGGTTGAATTCAAAATAAAAAAAGCTTTCAGAATCTGTGAAAGAATCATCAGGGCCGTATATAAAAAACAAAAGTTGATGATGGTTCTACGAATCCGGAACGTCGCATAGAAAAATCGGTATCACCACGTTAAACGTCATCAAAAGTTGCTATGGAAAAGTATTCTCAGTTTTTCTGTATCTCTAATAATAACGGAGAAAAAAAATAGAGATCCCAAAAATTACTTTTTTCGATATAATTGAAAAACTAGAGAAAATTTTGAGAATTTTCGAAGGCTGTTGGTATGAACCTCCGAATGCGCAACTTTTTCCCCATTTAACCGACTTCGTATCTCCTACCGTTTCCGAGATCCCCATGCTGTGCAACCTTATCTTGGACAGACTGTATATTTTTTTAAAATTTCGTGTACACCGTTTCTTGTTAATTGATTCAAGAAGAGTGAAATTACATGATCCAGAGTATTATTATTAATTATTGAAAATTCAACTTTGGTGAAATTATCTGGCACAAAAAATTGCTGTGAGAAGCAGTGAGAAGTTTTAGGTCACATTTCTCTAGTATTGTCATTCCATATTCGAATTCCTAGGAAGATCTCAACTATCTGACTTTGAGTTCCGTGTTTCATTCAAAAGAATCAGCCAGCACAAGGTGATCCATTTAAATTTCCCATTCGCGATCATCCTGGCAACATTTTCTTCATCAACCCAGTACAATAATTTCGTACTCCACCAAAATTACCGCTACATCTCCAAATGTATCACCCTGTACAAATACAGAATGTCATTGGAATGGCAAAACAAATTCCATTGTCACATTCTGAACACGGTTTCAATAACACCCTGTATACAGACGTTAGTGAAGAAATCGATTACCCTCGAAAACATGGTCACACTTCCAACATGTCACATTATAAAAATAAATTAACATTCTTCATATCATAACAGTCGCGATTTAAAAAATAAAAATAACACAACATAACGTTCGGAACCCTAATTTGTTGCATGAGATATCACAAAAGTTACGACGCCCCTATTAGGGGCTCACAGCAGCTGGTCCGTCTTCTTGATGGTGTTGTTGTTGAGATTGTTCACCGTGTGGTATTGACAGTGAGTGAGATCTATGCTGCTTTTTCTTCTGCTCTTGTATATGCACATTATCGATATGGCGATGATGAAAATTCCGAAGGCGAGGACTGCGATCGCTATGTAGACCCAGGATTCTGAAAGAGAAGATTTCCTAAAGGACACCGCACGTTTTATGGGAAAAATAGGCCTCCTGTCGAATTGGCTGAATGTTCGATATGTTATAGTTCAAGACATTCTGATTAAAATGTCCAAATACCAAACCGTTCTAATGGATTGTTCTGGCGCTAGAAGCCACTGAAGTCTCAATCTCGATTTTTTTCCCCTGATGAATAATGCTCTTTGAGCCATTATTATTTTTTATTTTGATAGGATAAGTTACTACTAGAAGTATTCATCAATATTGTTGCTACTGGTCAACAATTATACAATGTGTTCCAGCTATCATTGTTCAAGACAATAATAATATTCATTAATTCCATAGGAAAGGTTATCGAGAAATGAGAAATCGAGAAATGTCCTATTTCAATTACAAAATTCGTTCTTTCGAATTCCATGTTCAACCTCTGAATAACGAGAAGATACACGAAGATATCAACCCGTTCCATATAACAGCAGATGAATGATATTCGAATCAGAAAGATATTTTAATATTCAATATTAATGTGATGATGTTTTTTCTAGTATTAATCTCCTATTTGTCAAAGTTTGAGATTGAATGTTATTTTGCGTTTACCCTCCTAAAACAGTTCGTACTAGGTAAATTCAGAGTTTTCTGACGAAATTACAAGGAATATTCATCTAAAGATGCGAATGAATACTGATATTACTGATAATACCTGCTACTTTTATAGAACGAGTTAATAACGTTGTATATTTCCACTTTATATACTAGGTGAACATTAAATAATGATAATAATGATTAAAATTATAGTAATACAAATAATAATAATAATAAATATTCTTACTGAAAAAACTATTTCATAATTGGAATGCGACACGTCAATATCCTTTTTCATTGAATTATTGGATAGTATCATATTTGCTGGAACACACTGTATAATTCTTGACCAACAGCAAAAATATTGAAGAAAACTTCCTGTAGTGACTTATCCTATCAAAAAATAATATAATAATAGCTCTAATTGAAAAAAATATCAGGAGAAAAAAAAACAACATTGAGATTTCAGCGACCTCTAGCGCCAAAACTATCCATTAGAACAGTTTGGTATTCGGACATTTTGTTCAGAAAGTCTTGGACTATAACATATCAAAAATTCAGCCAATTGGACAAGAGGCCAATTTTCCCTATAAAACGTGCGGTGTCCAATATTTAAGAACAATTAGATTGCTGCTTTTTGTTAACGTTGCTTATAGCAACGAAAGACTATCGCGATCATTTTGCAACTTAATGCGATTAATAAGTGATTTTGTTCCTGACAAAAATGAAGCGCCTATTGGCAAATGTCACTCAGTTTCAAATTCAATCTTGATACCAATCAATTTTGAAAATTATGCACTTAACATTAACCTGAAAGGGTAAGAAACCTGCTATGTAGACGTTCGCATAAAGTAAATCTCTGGACTATGAATTTCATCCAGAAATTGTAATAAATGGAGAAAGCGCATGAAAGTAATTTTTATTTCGAACCCATTGAAAAATAGGCTTGAATGCGGAACCTTCTCGAGGTAAGTTAGTGAGATTTCAGTCACTACACTAAAGAATGATTTTCATGATACATGACAATTTCTGATAATAGTGAGAGCGCAAACTGAATCCACCAATTTATTGAATGAAATCGTGAGGACATTGTCGTTCTAGATGACAACCTAGTTTGATAGTTTTAGTAGGCAAGAGCTATAATATACCTCCTCGCGTACTAGGTTTTCTTTCAGATCGACAATGGTGAGGAATTACTACATACGACCTACAACAATTATCGAGGAATATTTTGTACCGGAAGATGGACAATAGCAATTTCAATAAATGGCGGAAGCGCATGCACAGAATTAAAATTGATATATAATATTTGAATTACGATTGAATAGGGAATCTTCCCGTGGTGTAAGTGAGAATTCAGTACCTACACTGTATAATGAGTCCCATAATCTACAACAATCACTAGCGCACTGAAAATGAATAATAAAAATCATTTGAAAAAATGGCGAGGGCGCATTTACTGAATGAAAAATCGCTATCTAAGTGGAAATTTCAAGAAATGGCGGGAGCGCATTAACAATTTTGCATTATGATAGAATAAGAGTCTTATATAGAAATGATTGATGAATTTGGATAGTGAGTTAGTTTTGATATGGACACTTCACTATCGAACGAATCCAGAAGATATTTTATAATGTCAGACAAATATCAAAGCAAAAGTAATTATTTGAAAATAAAAATTCAAAAAATTGCAAAAGCGATAAAATTAATCTATGGATAGAATATTCTCTATCAGGAAGTGGACAGCCTGAGATTTTCATCAGTTAACTGAAGATGAAAATGGTCGCTATGAAAAAGGAAATTTCAATAAATGGCGGGAGCGCATTAGCCTTTTGAAATTATAATAGAATTAATGTCTTGGAACTGATCTACTGATTGGCTTTGGTGGTGCGTTATCGCTGATATAGGCGCCTCACAATCGAACAATTACAAGACATATTCCATGATCTAAGACGAAAATTATTTTAAAATAACAAATTCCAAAAAATGGAAGATGAAAATGTTCCCTATTTCATGGGCCATTTTAATAAATGGCGGGAGCGCTTGACCATTTTGATATTATAATAGAATAAGTTGTGGATAGGATTGATTGATAAAAATTGGTGGTGAATCAATGATAATGAAGGCACCTCAATGTCAAACGATTCCAGAAGAATTCCATGAACTAGGACGAATATCAACACATTGGAAATTATTTGTGAATAATAATTTGAAAAAATTGCAAAAGCGCAACAAAGAAAGCATCAATTCATTGAATGAAAATGTAATGAATCACCACCTATTAGCGGGAAAGATTCTCGATCATAATATAGACAAACTGAGATGAAAATGTACGTTATTTAGTTGGAAATTTCAATGAATGGCGGGAGCGCACATAAATTTTGATTTCATGATAGAATCAAAGTCTGATATAGGATCGACTGATCAATGTAGGTGATCAGTTAGTATTCATATAGGCATCGCGCTACCAAACAATTGCAGTGGATATTTCATCATCTAAGACGAATATCAACGCATTGGAAATTGTTTGAAAATACAAATTCAAAAAATGGCGAAAGCGCAAAATGAATCCATTGATTCATTGATTGAGAAAATAAGAAATTACAGCCTACAATTATTGACAAATATTCTTAATCATGATATGGACAGTCTGAGATATGATATTCAACTGAAGTTGAAACTGTTCGCTATTAAATAGGAAATTTCAATAAATGGCGGGAGCGCTTAGACCTTAGGATATTATAATAGAATCAAAGTCTTGGATAGGATTGATTGCTCAAAATGGGTAGTGAGCTATTAATGATTTAGGCAACTCACCATCAAACAATTCCGAAGAATATTTCATCAATTGAAACAGATATCAATGCATTGAAATCTATTTGAAAATAAAAATTCAAAAAATGACGAGAGCGCAAAAATGATTCCATCGATTCATAGAATGAGAACGTAAGGAATCACGACCAACAATTCGCGAAGAACATTCTCTATCAAGAGATGGACAGTCCTAAACAAAAGAGGCAACTGTAGATGAAGCTGTTCGCTATTTAATAGAAAATTGCAATAAATGTTGGAAGCGCAAAAACCTTTTGATATTATAATAGAATCTAAGACTTGGATAGGATTGATTGATGAACTTGGGTGGTGCATTATCAGAAAAATTCAAAAAACATTTCATCATTGAAGACGAATACCAACACATTGAAAATTATTTGGAAATTACAATTTATAAAAAATAGTGAGAGCGCAATCAATCGATTCATTGAATGATAACGTGAGAAATAAATAAAAATATTTTTGATCAAGAAATGGGCAGCCTGAGATGTTGCAGTCATTCAATTGGCAATTTCAATATATGGCGGGAGCGCATAAACATTTTGATATTATAAGAGTCGTCTTGATAGGGTCGACTGATGAATTCGGGTAGTGAGTTAGTATTGATAGTCATTGCGCTACCATACAATTTTTGAAGATAATTCATCATTTGAGACGAATATCAAAACTTACAAAAATGGCGAAAGCGCAAAAATGAGTCCATCGATTCATTGAATGAGAACGTGAGAAATTACCACCTACAGTCAGCGTAGAATATTCTCTATCAAGAGATGGACTGTCTAAGATATGATACTTAACTGAAGACGAAACTTTTCTCTATAAAAAATGGAATTTCAATAAATGGCGGGAGTGCATAAACCTTTTAATATAATAGAATCAAAGTCTTGAATAGGATTGAATGATAAACTTGGGTGGTGAGTAACTGTTGATATAGGCACCTCCCTTCCATACAATTCCGAAAGAATATTCAAGCATTTAAGACGAATATCAACGCATTGAAAATGATTTGAAAATCACCATTTCAAAAAATGGCGAAAGCGCAGTTCATTAATTGAACGAAAACATAAGAAATTTCAATAAATGGCGGGAGCGCGTGAACGTTCTGATTTTATAATAAAATCCAGGTCTTTGATAGGATCGACTGATAAGTTTGGGTGGAAAATGAATAATGTTAGCCCCCATTACCAAATCATGCTGGAATCATCTCAGACGAATATCAAAGCAATGAAAATGAATTGAAAACAAAAATTTCAAAATATGGCGAGAGCGTAGTATGTCCACCAAAGCACTGAAACACGTTTTATAGGGAGATTTGGAGAATGGCAAGAGCGCAAAAATTACCAGAAGCAAACAAATACCACCACCTACAATCATTTGAATTCATATTCAGAACTAGAGTTCCTAAATGTACTTGACACTACTGTTTTGACAAAAAACGTCAAAACAGCAGTGTCAAGTACATTTAGGAACTCTATCCAGAACTAATAAACTGGTGCTTGTTCGATCTCAAAATCTTTATGATGAAGGAAACAATTATTGTCCACGTCATACAGTTATAGTAACGAAATTGCTCACCTCTGCCATCATCAGTCGGCACCACCGAAGGCTCGGTGGTGGTCGAGGCCCCACCGAACCTGTCAACAACACCATCCACCGTAACGGCAGCCCTGGTACTGGTCTCGGGCGCCACAGTGGACGTTTTTCTACTCCTGAAATCGTCCAGGATCTTGATCAGCTCGGTCAGCGATATGTTGTACTTGATCAGCAAGTCCTGGGAAATTTTTCCGTTGCTGCACCTGCAAAAGTATAGTCGAGTTATAATAATGATAATAATAATAATAATGGTCTCCTTCATTTCCTACAAAATAATTACAATGATTGAAATAACAAATTGAATATAGTTAAAATAAAGGGCGTAGTTCAGCTCATTCAGCGAAAACTTCACTAAATGAGTTGTTTTAATCTGGTGCTGATGATGTTTCCACCAAAAATTTGTCCTGGAAAAACTAGGGAGAAACATCTTTTCCTAGTTTCTATATGTAATATGACACTTTTCAGAACTGACGGAAGATTTGAAACGTCTTACTAACTAGTCGCGTGATAGTATATTACATAACAAGAGTTGTAAGACGCATACTACGCACGAAGTGGTGAGAGTTACACCACAAGTGCGTAATTGCTTTGCAATTCGAGGAATGTACTATACTTTTTCTACGACTACACTATATTTTCTTCTGGATAGTACAGATATTGTGTTGAGGCACACATATCGAATATTTCTTCCGTCACTCCGAGCTAACTGCATGAAAAGGTACAAATTAAAATCATTCTTGTATTTGTTTATTGGTATTTTGCATGGATAACTATTTTTCCCAATTTGAACTGAAATGATCCCGTTTTCAATTTCTCAGCAGCATCTTTGAGAACGAGGAACATATTCGAGAAACATATATGAATCTTTTATATAAATATTGTTCAAGAATGACGTGATTCCTGATTTTTTATTATAAGTTTCGTATCTTTCACGAGATTTCAAAGTCAGCAACGTATTTGTCGTCATTTTGGCTCTTCCCAGGATTTCTGATGGTGTAGAAATAATCTTTACGTCATCGCTTGAGATTTTTCAACTGAAATTGAGGAATATTGACAAAAAACTATTGTTGTCTCATTCACATTCGTTTCTGAATCGAGTTTCTAGCTATCATAGAACTCGAGCAATCGAGCTCCGACGCACTAATGCCCCACCCTGTATAATGTATGAATATAAAATTCTTCAAAATGCAGTAAATTCACTATAACATTGAATTTCAACAGTTGGCTATGGTTATTGGATGTATGATGAATCGATATTCATATTGCCAGAAAAATGGTTGTTTTCTGTTGAATAAACCGAGAAGGAATCAATATTTTCATCACATGGAGACCGAATTGTCAATGTATCCATTTTTCTGTGTTCATAAATATATCTGAGAATATTCGTTTTCAGTGGGCTATGGATTATTCATATACAGTGTGTCCCACTTACCATGCTCACCATGGGTATCTTTTTAACGGTGAGAGATACGAGGTCGGGGTTAAATGACACCAAATGTGGATTTGGTCAAAGTCAACTATAATGTGAAAAAATATTTTGATAAAATCTATTAGTTTTTGTTTTATACGCAAAAAACAGATTATGATCATTTTCATGTCTCCTCCGTAACTTCTTTATTTATGAAGATATTCAAATAGGAATTTCACATTCTCATGGCAGTTTTTCAAAGTGATTTCGAAAAAAATATGAAATTTATACCAACTCTTCTAGAATTTGAGATATCAGCACCAACTTTAGTTTTTCAAATGTAGGTCATAGCTCACTATGACTTAGTTACAAATAACTTTTTTTTCTCTTACAGATGATATGTCGCAGTAATAGTTTTGTGTTGATAACAACGGAGTTATCGTCATTTATACATAAACAAAATATTTTTTGGAAGCCGCCATCTTGAATTTATAAGTTTGAACAAAACAATCACGATCTCCGACCTTAAAAACCCCCACTTACCAATTTTGAATGGAATCGGACCAAATCTTGTCCGCCATCTTGGAGCAGCCATTTTTTTTTAATTTCAACAAAAATTCCATAATGTATTGTCACCGAAATTATGAACACCTGCCAAATTTCAAGTTAATCGGAGTTATGGAGTTTTTGTTAAAATTAAAAAAAATGGCTGCTCCAAGATGGCGGACAAGATGTGGTCCGATTCCATTAAGAATTGGTAAGTGGGAGTTTTTGGGGTCGGAGATCATGATTTTTCTGTTGAAATTTATAAATTTAAGATGTTTTTGTATAAATGACGATAACTCCGTTGTTATCGACACAAAACTATTACTGCGATATATCATCTGTAAGAGAAAAAGAAGTTATTCGTAACTAAGTCATAGTGAGCTATGACCTACATTTGAAAAACTAAAGTTGGTGCTGATATCTCAAGTTCTAGAAGAGTTGGTATAAATTTCATTTTTTTTTTCGAAATCACTTCGAAAAACTGCCATGAGAATGTGAAATTCCTATTTGAATATTTTCATAAATACAGAAGTTACGGAGGAGACATGAAAATGATCAAAATCTGTTTTTTGCGTATGAAACAATAATGAATAGATTTTATCAAAATATTTTTTCACATTATAGTTGGCCTTTACAAACTCCACATTTGGTGTCATTCAACCGACCACGTATCTCTCACCGTTAAAAATATACCCATGGTGAGCATGGTAAGTGGGACACACTGTATAAAAGTTCCAATTGAAGAAATATTTCATTTGATTTTTCCATGAAGTGAACAAAAACAATACCATCACTAATTAATTAACCAAACCAAAAACTAAGCTACCAGATAGCAACAATTAAATAGTTATAAGAAGTTCATAATGTAGAATGAGAACCTGACTTAAAATTAACTAAAACAATTGGATTTCGAAATTATTCAGTTACTTAAACATTGAATTGTTCAAATTAATGTCCATTTTCCCTTACATAATTTTTCAATGATACATCTTAATGCATTCAATATCATCGAAGGATGACTTAGTAATCAAAAGCATCGAAATCGGAACACACTACTATACCTGCAAACCTCGCAGCCCTTCTTGTTGATCTTGTAGCCGTGCGAACACGTGGTATTACAATTCGCCAATGGCTGGCACTCGTTCGTTTTCATCGTGGTAGTAGGATCGCAGAGGGAGCTGACACACTGCTCGGTGCCGTTCGCGCATGTGCACTTGGTGCAGCCGTCCTTTTCTAACCAGGTTTCGGACGGCTGATAGATGCGGTCCTGCCGGAAGCAGGAGTGGTTCTTCTGGATGTGGGTCTCTTTGACGTCGCAAAAGTGCGATATGCACTGTTCCAAACCGTCTCTGGAAGACAGAGAACGTCGGTTTTAATGATAAAGTTGGTCGGAGTGTTTCCGCTAATATATTCGGTTATATTCTCGAACAAGATACAGGAAGGCTGATTTCAGTGCCTCAGGAATGATTGTTATCACACACTCCACCATTGAGTTTTGCATGAGAATCGTCCTTCAGTTGTTGGAGAATAGAACTTTTCCTTTAAAAAATATCAATTTGGCCCACTCTGTACATTATTTCTAGAAAATCTCCGACCCCAAAAACCTCCAGATACCAATTTCGAATGGAATCTGCAATATTGAATTTCCAAATTTCGACGGAAGAATCATAATCTCCGACCTCGAAAGCCTTCAGGTACCAATTTTGAATAGCATCGGATCATAATTACAAGTCTCGTCTGCCATTTTCGAACAACCATCTTGAATTTCGTGATTTTGACTAAGGGTTTATAATCTCCGACCCTGAAACCCTCAAATATCAAATTTGAATAAAATTGGACCACAATTACAAAACTAGTACGCCATATTGGATCCGCTATCGTGAATTTCCAAATTTTGACAAAAGATTCATAATCTCCGATCCCGAAAACACCTAGATACCAATTTTGAATAGAATCAGATAATAATTACAAAATTCGTCCACCATATTGGATCCGCCATCTTGAGTTTCCAATTTTAAAAATAGTTCTCGACCGATTCTCAGACTTACAAAATATTTTCGAGAATTTTCGAGCCGGTTCGTAGGAGTTAGGATGTTGACAATTTTATTTTCTTTTTATTGATGGAAACAACTTTCACAATGTGAAAAACTGTATCAATAATCGTAATCAATAAAATGTCATTATTTCTAATACAAAATAGGGCATTAGCCTACTTGTTCAGAATAATTTCGTTACCTATGCCACGAATGCATGAAAATGGTTTTTACTTTTTTACGTAAAAACTTCAGGAGGTCAAATTAATTAGGATCTCGAAATGATTTTTAGTCTCGGGAAAATTAAGGGTGTACAATATATTCCTTTTGAATCTCCAGGATATGTCCCATACAGACGCCACTGGTAGAAATATTGGAAAATTTCTGACATCACAAAATAAAACAATTTTTTCCTTAAAACTCAAGCACCCTATAGATCCAAAGTTGACATGAACTCTGCTTCTTGAGATGAGCTAATGTACCATACCCTTCATTTTCAGCCATCAATTGAATTACACCCTGTATAGAGATACAAGGAGACACTTGGAGAACATATCAGAAAAACATAAAGAGATTTACAAAAGCTTGAAAAGAGTATACAAGGAATTCTTCAACGGAATGAGCTTGAAGGTAAAGGTCAACGTGGTAATCTACAGAGCGACTTTTTTAACTTCCCTGTAGTATGCCAAAGGAGAAGAAAGTGGAGCTTTACACCGGAGATGGAACTGAAATATGAGTCAACAAGCCTCGGACCAAACACAAGAAGAAAAACTGAAAGAGCCAACCAACAGAAGTATACCTATACTTATACAGTCACATTTTTATGCGTCCCAAATTATTTCAGATTGAAGGGAAAGGAACTCGAACACTATTATCTTCCTGCAGGATCAGCAGCAGTACTGTATCAGGAGAAATCAGGAGAAAAATGATTTTTTTTCATCTCACTTGCAAGTACATTCAGTGCATCCGTCCTCTTTGGTCCACTTCTCGTTATCCTTGTACAATTTGTTGTCCACGAAGCAGGATTGTGCCTCTTTGTCTTTGGTTTTCGAGCACAACGATAGGCCGTTGTTACACCTGCAGATCTGCAGGTCTTCTGTCTGCCATTCTTTGCCGTTTTCGTAGAAAACGTCTCCGATGATACAGCCCTGGACTGATTCGGGCTTCTTGCACTCGTAGAGGTCACAACAGTTGCCCGGAAAACCGCTGCCATGCTTCTTTATAACAGCCTGAAAAATACCGAGAATTTCAATCGAACTAAATGAGTCTGTGGTGGAGCACCTCAAGGAACAATATTGGGGCCTATTTCATTCGCAGTATACATACATTCATACTAAACTCATTTGCAAATGATCGAACATAGGATTTGGTGTTATCTTCTGAGGTGGGGCACCTCAAGGAACAATATTGGGGCCTATTTCATTCGCATTATACATAAATTCATACTAAACTCATTTGCAAATGATCGAACATAAAATTTAGTGTTATCTTACCGTTCTGTTGTTCCCACAATCAGTCTTGCAGGGAAGACAAACGCAATGATCCTCCAATTCATCTGTTTCGAGATTTGTCGATTCGCTATCGAAGGGACATGGCTTGCAAATAACTGTATTACAGCACTCTCCTGTCACTGTGACAGCTACAGATTTTTTGTCACAGATCTGGGGTAGAGGGCACTGTAGAAAATTGCATAAGCACTTCCCGTCCACCTATAACATAATGTCAGGAAATTTCAAATTAATAAATTGGCTGTTGTATACCCGAATGCGCTGATTGATGACTAGATTGGTAAGACAAGAGATTCATTAACAAGGGAAAGCATATTCCTTCCTGAGAACTTATAAAGTCGAAGATTTTGAGAAAATTTCAGTTCCTGTACCTTCTCTCCCTGAATTACTATCACTTAAAATTTCACTAGCAGCAGAATTTATTACCGATAAATTTTTTCAAGGTCACGAACGTCAGAATTGGAATATAATTTCATGAAAAATTGGGAAGGAAGCATGAATGAAAATATTATGCTGTTTAATGAATTGTGGGAATTCTGAAGAGAATGGATTTCATTTATTTAATTCGCCAAAGGAAATATCAACCCTATTCTCTTATGGAAGGAATGAATGAAACGGCCTGGATGGAAAATTGATTTGAACACAAGCAAAATTTGTGAGGTACATAAATTAAAATCCACTTTTAATGAGAGCAGATTAGAATGGAACTATATTTTAGGCTCATGGTTCCAAACAGAAGATTTCAAGATCCGTTTGATGCTGTTCCATTCATTTACAAAAGAGACTATTTGAAAAGAGAATCCATTATTATCGTCACACGAAATGCAAAACAAACTATCATGGAGGAAGAGAAGTTGATTGCAAAAAATTTGAATAATGTCTATGAAACAAAAATTTTGTAGGTTCACTTTTACCGTCTATGAATGTGACGTGACAGCAATGACATGTCAGGGACGCCAATACACGAAACCAAAGTCACTAGATGATTAAAAGAGAGAGGAGCTATGATCTGTCCGTACCCTGTTAGATTACAAATATGTCAGATTCCATCACGGGACTCTAAGTTTCTCCTATTCCGAGGTGAATCCCTTATTTGAGTGGAATGGCTGCCGGCAGCCACAGCCATGCACTGATACGAATGATACGATACTGCAGTGAGTCTGCCGTTCTTCCTCCCTTCTTTCTACTCACCAGCCGCTTCTCCCTGTCGACGCACACACAATCATCCCCTTCTATGACCGCTCCCGGCGCGCAAGGGCACTTGCCTGCTATCTCCTCTTCTTTCTTGCACCCCGAGCACTCGTAAGTCGGGCAACATTGCCCGGGCACCTCGGAAGCGTTCGTGGCTTGTCGTAATTCGGTCGGGCAGGGCGGTTTCCTGCAGAGCGAGGGATCGCACTTGCAGACATCGGCCGAGAGGACGCTGTCGGGCGGACAGGCTTCGATAGAGGGCGCTGCACGAGTAGCTGGAAAGAAAAAGATTTGGTTGGTGCGTGGTAGATGGCGATAGTATACTGGATCTTTCTTTTATTTGATTCAGACGGAAGAGTTGCGAACAGCCCATCTGCCACAAATAAGTTTCAGAAATACATTTTGAGAATTGAAAAAGATCGAACGGAACAATTGAATATCAAATAATTGAGAAGAGTAAATTTGGTCATAATGAAGATATTTTCTCTAGTTTATGGACAATCTCGGTCTTTTGAACTTTGATTGATCACCTGGGTCATGATCAACTGCATTCCGGAGAAGCTGATTCTCCTGAACTTCAGCTTTTTCGAAAGTCTTGATGTTTCGTTCTTCAATGACTGACACGATTGAAGGGAGCTCGTGATTTTATTTTGTAATGTTTGTAATCTGGTGATATGAGATTTAGCTGTGTGGCCCCAGACTACTGAGGCATACAGTGAAATTGGCCTGATAGCCATGATATAAATATTCAATTTTTGTCTCAAACCCAATTTACTTCGTCTGTTTAAAAATGGATACAGTGCTCCAATGGCTCGTTTAGGTTTCGAAACTTGTTGTTCAATGTGCTGGGCCCAGGTGAGCTTTTTGTCAATGCACACACCTAGGTATAACTTGTGAAGACCACTCTAACTCATGGCCATCCAGGACTATTCTGGTTCTGGAAGGCCTCCGCTCCCTTCCGAGTACAACCAATAGTGTTTTTCTAGGATTCGATTTGGTCTTCCATTTTAGGAAGCACTCCTGAAGGAAATTCAGCGCGCTTTGGAGGATCATAGCTGCTTGTTCGAAATTTGTCGAATATGTAAAAACTGCCGTATCATCAGCAAAAAGCGACATCTTGCACATCACTGGTCTCGGCAAATCGCTAGTAGGTATATAAACTGTACAACAGCGGCGGTAAAACTGCACCCTGAGGAACACCAGCTTCAATGGGCTTGATACCAGATCGTTGATCATCAAGTTCCACTCGAAAAGTTCGATTTTTTAGAAATGAACACATCTGAACTGAATCAAATCGTCAGGAAAGCCCGTATCGATCATTTTGTTCAAGATACCATCATGCCACACCTTGTCAAATGCTTTCGCTATGTCAAAGAGAGCAAGATGGGTCTTCTGTCTATCATTTCTCAACGACATTGTGTTCTCAATGAGTCTCAAGACTTGTAGTTCAGTTGAGTGGCCAGTTCTGAAACCGAATTGCTCATCTGGTATCAGCTCGTTGTCGTCGATAAATTCCTGTAACCTCTGTTTAATCACTCGCTCAATTATCTTAGATGGAGAGCACAGGAGACTGATAGGACGATAGCTCTGCGGAAGAGCATTATCCTGACCCTGCTTCTTAAGCATCACTACTTCGGCATGTTTCCATCTTTGAGGGAAACATAATAGTTTCAATATGGCGTTGATGATTTCACATAAGTTAGTTATGGAATTACCAGGAATCCTTTTCAATATTCTGTTTGTAATTCCATCATAATTCATTATTCATTTATCCAGATCAGGTAATGTTTTTATATACCGAAGACTGGAACCTCTGGCACGATATTAAACGCCTCGACACGTGTTTCGCTTACTATGTTAGCATCTTCAGGAGAAGATCAAAACTGTTTTGATCTCCTTCTGAAGTCGAATTAGGAACTGATAAAAATAAAACGTGATGAAACGTCCTGTGATGAAACGTTTAACGTATTCCAGGAATATCATTTCATTTTCATGAAATGAATGATACCTTTGTGGTTCAAGAAAAAACTCTTGCTTGATGTTGTTGGAAATCATTGCATGTTGCGTCAAATTCACGTCATCGTTGAGAAAAGATTATTGAAGTATTCACATAGGTCCACATCTTCTAGAAGTGAAAAACGGAACACCAAAATCAATCAATCTTTACACAAGTCTAGCAGAGCTATTTTTTTTGTAGATTTTTACTGTTATGGTCGAGTTGTAGGGATTTCTGAGAGGTTATAAAAGGTTTCACCTTGAATTAACTGAACAAATCCTTATCAAAATTCATTGATTGGATTATACATTATCTCAGGGATTTACAAAATTGGCGGAGAAAATATAAAAGAGCGTGTCCGCCAAAATATCGAAAACATAATGAATTTTGGTATATTTTCAAGGGATTAAAATAAAATCCCTATTAAAACCATTGTATATTTTTATCAGATCAATAACTGTAGAATTTCTAACTCTTTTGGAGTTTATTCACGTGATGAGTTTGACCAATGATCTCTCACAAAATCAGATCTTATCTAAGCCCGGGTCAAGCACATTTAATTCACCTCTTGTAGAATTTTATAGCAGATCATCCTGTATAGTTAAATGACCTATGAACCCGCAGCGAACTATTTCAGCCAGAAATGCCATAATTACGAATATGTTTGCGAACATGTACCTACGTGGGTAGAGCAGTCAAATTAAGCCCTTATTTAGTATTTATGCCCTTCAGCAGCAGTGGCCGAGAACTATACAAAGTCCTGTCAGGATTAATTTGACCAATGGCGTTCCAGTGGGAAAAACATCGACATTCAATTAATCTATTTTATTTTCAAATCAATATGTGCCGTTTTCAGGTCTACACCTTTTCAATTTTTTTTTATGTTCTGGTTCTCACGAAAAGGGTTATCCTGTAATGTTCAGAGAACATCGTGAGAACCAAGGGAAATAAGGTAGGAATTGGCGTTCTACTTAAATTTCTGGAGGTTATATGCCTCGGGGAACATCTCCCTTGGCAATGTGTTCCATAGCCTCGCTGTTTGTTGGATGGACAAGTCTTTGGACAGAGATGTTCTGCAGGTCTCCAAAGTGACCACGAAGGGGTGCGAAGCCTCAACACGACTGGTTAATCTCGCGGGGACTGCCAAGGGAGGAACAATTGTTGATATTTCAGAAAAGCATCGCTCATGAAAATAGCTATAAATTAGAGCCAGATCGCCAACTTTTCTACGGTGTTCCAGAAAAGTGAGTGAGTTTGTGAGCGAGGCATCACCCACGAGACGAATTGCCCTTTTTTTGACAGAATCCAACAGTTTCAGGGTATGTTTGGGTGCTGCACTCCAAATATGGGAACAGTATTCCAGGACAGGTCGATTCTGTGCCTTATATATCATAAGCAGCTGACTGGAAATAAAATAGGTCCTGGCCCGAGACAGAAAACCAAGTTTTTGGGATGCACTTTTAGCAATTGATCTCGCGTGATTTTCCCAAGAAAGGTTATTGCTTATAGTGATTCAGAAAGTGTAGACCTCTTTTCATTCATTGTGAAATTTTGACACTTATGTGCCTATTTATATAAAAAACTGTTTGTTTGATTCACAAAAATAATTTTCTTATCACCTACAGGAATCTTACGATGAGAGATTCTAGGTTGCAATTCTGTCATAAGATTCATTCTGATATATATGTATTATATGTAGGTATTTCAGCAAGATTATCATGATGTTACTACTTTTTTTAATTGTGTGTGTTCAAATTTACATTATGTACCTACCTATTTGTATTTCTTCGTATGTTTGTACAATGTAGACTTATTATTGTATTATTATATTACTTCCTACTGGACACAGTGGAAATCCACTAAAATAATTTTAAACCATGCTTTGTCTACAGGGAATATTATTCTTGGACAATGAAGCACAGTATTGATTGATTGATTGATATAAGATATATTTCAGAACAAAAACAAACATTTGAGAGCATTCACCCTAGAAAACAAAATGCGCTCTAATTTTGTATCTGAAAATGCTATTTTTGCAATTCCTGTAACGTTTTGCATGCGATTACAGGTTATTTCACCGACTAGATTAATTAACATAAAGCCGTTTATCAGAACATCATTTTGTATACGCGAACACGACAGTGATATTTTAATTATTCCTAATTCTGATGCAAAATTATTCAAATTGTGTGAAGAACTACGAAGTTCATCATGGCCTGTCGTTCTAGCATAAACAAAAACTTCCTATCTCTGTATTTTGAACATCTGTTTGATATAATTTATTCTCGACGTAACCGCGATGACAGGTTGAATTGTTCATTATAGAGTTCCTATAAATGTATTTTTCTACTCACATAACTAAAATGGCATTTAGCGTATACGGATATATGTATGTACCACGCTAAGTGATCGATTAATCACGTATTGTCGATCTGTGATTTATTCAAAATATTAAACACGTTACCATGGCAACACGATTTCTCAAACACATTACCATGGCAACACAGTTCATTAAACACAGCTTCAGTAATTTGAGACATGTCTGGCCTATCAATTGTATCAACTGTCAACTGTTATTTTCAAATTTCGTATCAGAATTATTCAAACAATATTCGTTTGTATCAGAATTCTTCATTGAAAATATATGCGAAAAGTAGACGAAAGTGAAATCGAAGAGAATGTTCTGGTACTTGATGCATATCTCCAAGGAGTGTGAAAATGAAGCATCCATCTTTGAGAACAATTTATTTATTCTGCGCTAAGCATGACAATAAACGTGTGAAACAAAGGTTAGTAAGCAATGAACTGGACACATCTACAACCAATATCACTTATACGTGTCTCGCTGGTTGCATGAAGTTGCATGTATTATGTTCTCAATTCCCATTCCTTTCGAATTATTTTGTAGGTTAGCAGGAATTGCAGGTATGTTAATGTAATTTTCGGAGTTCGTAGAAAAATCATAGTATGTAACGCGTTTATAAACTCTTCTAGACACTCGTTTATTAAACACTCGCTCCGCTCTGCTCCGCTCGTGCTTAAACTACTCGTTACTAAAAGGACGTTTATAACCCTTGTTACATAATATACTATTGACACTTTTGTTTAGTATCGGGAAGGCATCATAAAAACTAGATGAATACCTCTTTCTTCATTATTATTCACTGCATGACTTATTCATAAAGTTTCAAAATTACACAATCTTCGGAAAATCAGGATCAACCAATTTATCTGAATATCCGCTATTATTGATTCTCTATCTAGAGCACACACGTCTCACAAGAGTGTATATACTTTTAATGAACCCCTAGGTACCCATAACTCTCATAAAATGAGCAGTAAATCTTTTGGAATATACGAACGAATGACTGCATTCAGTCCAATAAAAAAGATCGTTCTTCGTGTTCCTGATAACTCTCTGCCGTCCCCAGGAAGACACAAAATATTCGTCAATCAGAAAAGTAACTCTGTGTATATAATAATAATAATAATAAATCGTCTTTATTTGAACAGGTACAAGATAGGCGTAGTTTAGCCAATGGCTACTCTTACACTCAACCTAGTAAGTACAATATTATACGAAGGTATCAGTAATAAAGCATTCTCTGCAAGAAACTAGTTCAGTTAACTACATAACAAAATCATGAAATGAGATGAACATAAAAGGAAACATGAAAGGAAGAGACTTGTTCATATAATAAGTACATATTTTGAATAATTCATATTATATAAAATAAAATGTGGTCAAATTACATTAGGATAAATTGATAAGATCAAATTGTTAAATTACTGAGAGGGGCGGGAGGGTGGAGAAGAAATAATTTTTTAGTGCTTTCTGTATTTGGGCCTTAGGAAGATGCATGTAATTGATCGATAGTTCGTTATAAAATTTTACAGATTGGTAGGTGAATGATTTCTGAAACATACTAGTGCGATGACGGGGCATGTGAAGTATATATTTTGATCTTATATCTAATAAATGAATGATGGACATACAACTGTCAGCCAACTGCAACTGTTAATTAGGCAATCCAATGACTTGTCAAACTATGCGCTGGTTGGCACACAATAATAGTTATTTGTTTTACTAGGCAGCAAAGTACGAGATTTAATGCCGCGG